GTTTTGTCAAAAGCGCCTTCGATGTCAATGAATGCACCAAGGGTTGACTGCTTTAACTTCAAGGAGTTGCCAATGCGAGACACGACGTTGTGGAGTAATGAGTCCGTTGGTTTGCCCGAGCTATAGGCATGTTGATTAGGGTGTAGGAATTTGGATAGCGATACCCGGCTGCGTATCTCCAGGTCTCCCAGCCTCTCCATCGTTTTTAAGAAGAATGAAGTAAGGCTAATGGGCCTGAAGGACTTCGCTTGGGTATAGTCCTCTTTACCTGGTTTTGGGATGAATATGATTTTTACTTCTCTTCATTTCAAGGGTATGTACCGGTGGGCTATACAGGCTCGGAAGACAGAGACAAGATAGTCTACTATAAAGTTCCCACTCCATCTTAGTAGGCCTGGGAAGATGCCGTCCAAACCAGCCGCTTTGAATGGTAGGAAGGAGTTGATTGCCCACGTTACTTTTTCATTAGTGATTATTTTGTGAGCTACTTGCCAGTCTGAGCTGTCGGTGGCTCTCTCTGAGTATGGTTGCCAGGCCTGTTCGTTGGCTATTATGCAACCCGGAAAGTGTGTTGCCAGTAGTAGTTCACATGTTTCTGAATCAGTTTTTGTAAATGAGTTGTCAGATTTTTTAAGACAACTGATCGAGTGATTGGGCTCTCTGGAGAGGCATGATTTCACCCTGGTTGCTTGGTTGCTGTTTTCAATACTGGTGCAGAAGTGTCTCCAACACTCTAGCTTCCTAGTACGTAAAAGTTTTTTGAATCGCCTTCTCGCGACCGTGTACTTGTCCCAGTCGGTGGGTAACCGTGTGTTCACTGCTCTATTGAACAGCTTCCTGAGCTTCCGTCGGTGTCTCTCCAGTTCGGGGCACCACCAGTTATGTCTCCCCCCCCATCTTGGTATAGTAAGGGGACACGACCGTTCATAGCTTGTCAGGAGTAGGGACGTTAGGTTGTTTACATGTTTGTCTATATCTTGTATATTTATGGTGGTTGGTATCGATAGTTTGTCTACCTCGGAGCTAATAAGTCTATAAAATTTTACCAAATCGGTTCTCCGCGGTATGCGTCTAGGTTGAGGTTTAGGTAGCTCCCCTTTGATTGCAAAGCGGATCCACCTATGATCCGAGCATGATAACTCGCTGGATACGTGCCAGTCCTGTATGTGATCTGACAGACCAGCAGTTACCATTGTTAAATCAATAATAGTTTGCGAGCGCGCGTTGATAAAAGTTGGTTTTGAGCCATTGTTTGCCAAGATAAGGTTATTGTTAAGTATAAAATTAAGCATATCCTCACCTCGAGTGTTGGTATTAGCGTTACCCCATAACGTATGGTGCGCATTGGAGTCCGCCGCGATGATTAGCTCCAGTTTCTCCCTCTCACAGTAGTCAGCCAGAAGGCCGAGTTCTGGAGTGGGCACGTCCTCGTCACCTGGTAAGAAGGCGGACGCCAGGACGACGTCTGGTTGATCGTTTCTGGGTAACCTAATAGCTGTAAGGTCCCTTGAACAGAGTTCGTTTATTAGAAATGCTGGTACATGTTTAGGCAAGATTATGCAAGTTCTAGGGTTACTTACGGAGGTATCCAGTAAAAGTTTACCAACGGTGCTGCCCAGGCCACATATCTTGCCATTCCTGATCCACGGCTCCTGGATCGCGGCGATGGTCTTCGGGTTGGTCTCCAGCAGTCTGCGTAGGGAAGCCGACGCTGTCTGACTGTGCTGGAGGTTGGCCTGCATAAGGTCAGTTTGGCGATGGGGAGGAGCGCAGACAGCTGTCGCTGAATTCACTCCCCCCGGTCTCCTGAAACAACTCATCATCCGAAGTTAGTTGCACCGGTGACGGTGGTTGTCTAGCTACCTCCATAGGGACGTGTGTCCCGGTGACCGAATCTGCCCCCGTCAAAGACGTGGGCAGCCCCAGCCCCGACGACGCCACCCCCGATGTGCTGGCAGCAGTTGGTGGGGCGTTGGCCACCTGTGAGGGTTCATCTCTATCCAGGATGCGGATATAGATGTTCCCCATCAGGTAGTATAACCGCCGATCATGTTCTTTGATTTTAGAGATCTCAAACTCTGGCACACGAAAGAAGAGAGACACGCCTGTCGGGTCCTGAGTTCTTCGTTCGTGTGTTAGGGTCCAGGATCTGATGTTGAGGTGGCGGTTCTGCCTCGTGATCAGTTTCCTCAGTGTTTCCGTGTTGCCACTGTAGTCTGGTACATGTAGCAGACACGGAATTTTGTTCGGAATTGCCGATTGAGGCCGAACCACCAACCTCTTGTCAGGTACAGGATTTGTGATGACATCACAAGTTCCGGTCAGCCAACTCAGAGTGTAAGTGTCCTCGCACCAAGTTTTGAGGACACCATCCGAGAAATGGGCCTTACCCTGGAACCTGATGTCGTTTGGCTCGGTAGTTAGGGTAGCATCAAGATCCGCCAAGAGCTCACCTTGAATCTTACCCTCGATTTGTAGGCGGATGTTATCCGCCTATTCTTGTGTCATATCCACGAAAAGGTCAGTCATCACGGCAACACAAAGCTCGATAGCTTTGTATGATGCTGCCGCTTCCGCGTAACTGGCCGAGGTCCCTGCCACCGTCTGGGGTTTGTTGGGTTTGACCCTTTTACTTTCCCCAGTCAGTGTTACGGTTTCCTCTGGCCGATCGCGCTTCTGGCCCTTCGTGGCTTGGTTTGTTTTAGAGCTTTTAAGTCCCTTGCCGCACCCAGAGCAACTAGGCACGGGCGCAGCAGTGGACCTTTTAGGCTTCGGTTTCCTTTTCCCGCCTCTCTCTACTGTGGTTACAGCGGGGGCAGTTCCAGGTTTCACAGGTAGCCTCGGAGCGCCGGTGACCAGCTTCTGCTGTTCCGATGCCCTTATGGCTCTCCTGTGCCGTCGCCCTTAAGAGTTACTTACGACCATTTTGAAAGTCGGCTCCTGAATTGCGATCTTCAGAGCCGACATATCCATGGTCGTGGTTAGTGCACTGGACGTGCCCTCCGTCGCAGCCTCGGTCTGCCGCATCGTTCTTGCCGCGGATGCACCCCCTTCAGACGCAGACAACGCTGTATCATCGTCCGGAGTTGCCATCTTTGGCTCGACCGACGCAGTCAACCTGGCCGCAGCAGTGGTCACATCCTTGTGCGGTGGTATAAGGGATTCCATCGGACACAGCCGATTGACCGTGGTTAGCTAAACCCCAGCCTCCCGTGTGAGGAGAAATCCAGACAAAAGAAGTGTGTTGTGTGCAGCGCACAACTGTTCCGGCGCACTACTCCACTCAACCCCCAGGATTCCTTCATCCCCCCGTACGGGTCCCCGCGCATGGCACAAACACGCGGGAGGTCATTCACTATCCACCGTCCTTCCTTTTTGGACGATGAACTCGCAAGGACATGACCTCTCCATCCCTGCAATAGTTCGCTTGGCGGTTTTAGTTACGTCTAATACATAGGGTATTAGACCAAGAACAGGGTCGGCAACCTCGAGAAGGTTAGTCCACCAAACTTGCTTTGAGGGGATCATAGCGACTTGCGCTACCCCCAAAAGCCACGCCTCCCTACCCATCAGAAGGATGTGGTAGGGTGGGTTTGCACCTATGCTACCATGCAAGCATGTCGTACTGGGAACCGTAGAAGCATAGACCCAAACCCCCCCCAAATTATTTTTATTTATTATGTACATATTTTTATCTAACTTATATATACTTAATTTCTACTTATGAGCTACCAACAATATTCTTATTTTACTTATAGCTCATACCTACTTAATTTATATTTGTATTGTATATATAGTCACTAACACTAACTTATAATAATCTATTCCTATTTATATATATATGAGTCGCCAACAATACTGAAGCCTAATTTCGGGGTCCTGTGAGGACTTCCATTGTTGAAATATTTTTATTACGTTTGTAGCAGAGGCTTTTAACTTTGTCATCTATCCAAGGCTTAAGCTTTTCGGGATAGCTTTGGTATTTTTTTTGAGATTTAACATGTCGCTTTTTTGTTAGCCTTTTCGAAGGAAAGGCGAATAAAATTATATATTTCTCTGGGAGAATTCATTGTGTTTGTTTTAAACCACTTAACCTTTTTTTAATTTGTTATATAATGTTTTGAAATTAATTTGTTTAATTTGTTTGCAAGTACGTCCCTGTGTGGACACGGGCATGTAGCTTAAGCAGGCAAAAACAATAGCACGGTGGTCGGCCAGTACGGTGTTTAACGCCGCCGAGTACGGACCTGATGATATCTATAGGGAGATGGCTGTTATTGATCATTTGAAGCAATTTAGGAAAGTTTTTTATAATAGATCTAATATTAATATGTATGCATGAAATGTTTACATGACATTGGTGATGTTAAAAAATCATTAATAGAACTACAATTAAAAATTTCATTACCTGTATTAGTGGCCATAATTAATTTTCAAGATGTACGTATAAGAGATACAACAAGTTACAAGTTATGACAAACACTTAAAATTGGTATATTTTTTTTATATAGGTGAAGAAAAGGCAGGTGTTTTTTCTAGTATGAGGATGTCATCTAGAGATCTAACCTAATGAATGACGACTTGACTTTTCCATCTTTGCACCATATAAACTTATATGACATGTTGAGTCTGGATTTAGTTTTGTATAAAATAGTTTTAATGTGTTTCGTTAAGGCTTCTCTCACATAGATCCTATTATTCATGATTTCTTTTGGGGCCTCTGGTATTATATGACCTATTGTTATACACTTAGCTTTACTTGCAGTGATCCATTGTTGCTGCATAGTTCTGGAGTTAAATTTTATTAGTAGTAGTCCAGGTCTTTCATTAGTTCCTTTTGTCCACTGGGTTGACTTAATATCAACATTATCAACCTCAAGTTTGCCTGTTTACACTACACACTAACACCAAACGTTTTCCAACTGTCCTGGCGTAGTATCCGGGAGACCCGCCACCTCCAGCGTATCACCCAGTTTTGCTTGCTCCAATGACCTCAGTTGCTACTCCACAGCACATACCCTCAGTTCTAAATTTTTGTTTTTGTTTAGGAGATCGTAATTTTTGTTCTCAAGTTTTGTAATAGCTTCTTTCTGGGTCTTTATGGACTGTTCCATTGACGGTATCTTGTCCGATAAGTCGTTTAGAGAGGACTCGATGTGACCCAACTCTTCTTTAAAAGTTTTCTTAAGCTCTCTGCTTATGTCAGCAACAAGTTGTTTCACATTCAGATTTGATATGTTAACTTGCGCCTTTGGTTCCGATTCTTCGTCATCCTCGTCATCAGAGTCATCATTGGTAGTGATGAAGGATGATCTGCGTGACACTTTCTTCTGGCATTCATTACAGCTCCATTCGATGCTTGATGAGTTTCGAAGGGTGTTAAGCTGCTTGTTAGATAGCTTCGCGCAAACTGGACAATGCGATTGCATCTACTGCAGTCAATCCCCGGCGATTTTTTTTATATTTTTCTTGCACTTGTAACACTTTTTAACCACCATTGCTATACAATAATAATATTCTTATTTTAGTAAAACATTTTTTTTATTGATTTTGTATTATATTTTGTAGTTTTTAATTTGTAGGTAGATAGGTCTGCACTCAACGCTTGCACAACAAGACTGAATATGTAATGTAGTTTCGTGGTAAGGTTCTGTATCGCTCAATAGTGATTAATGAAACAACGTTAAATGATGCTGTTAACCAATTATAATCATCAATGGATTCAAATCTTCCGGATCTTGCACCCTCTAATTATGCTGCTTCTGCCATTATCGCTTGATTAACCACAATCACACTGATGCAATTATATGCAGTCAAATTTGTCAATGGTAAGAAGATCCTACGTATTGTGAAGACTAAGACTTGCTCCGAATCTACCAGAAGACTTTTACTTACTTATTGATTAAGAAAGCTCAAAACGTAACAGGATAGGCAGTGTAAAGAAGGTTTTCGAAGTTTGGGAATGCATAAAGCGTTGTTATATTTTCAAGAGCAGTGTTGGCCTAGTGACTTCAGAGTGCGACTCTCATACCTGAGGTCGTAAGTTCGATCCCCGGCTGCGCACCAATGGACTTTCTTTCTATGTGCGTATTTAACATTTGCTCGAACGGTGAAGGAAAATATCGTGAGGAAACCGACATGTCTTAGACCCAAAAAGTCGACGGCGTGTGTGAGGTACTGGAGGCTGATCACCTACTTGCCTATGTGATTTAAAAATGATCATGAAACATATTCAGAAATCTGAGAACAAGACCTAAAGAGGTCTAACTTTAAATTTGTTAGATGGTGAGAACCTTGTTGAAAATACCTGTCAAAATGACATTTATTGAAGAATACATAAGAGATTAAAAACTGAAGTAATTTTCTCATTACACCCCTCTTAGACTTTTATACACACAGTTATATACATACAATAAGCTGTAAAAACTCAACTGAAGCGTACGAGTGGGGCATACTGGACTGAACTGGTTTTGAGGCTATAAAAGCACGGCGCGCGATATGGCCGTACAATAAGCTGTAAAAACTCAACTGAAGCGTACGAGTGGGGCATACTAGACTGAACTGGTTTTGAGGCTATAAAAGCAAGGCGCGCGATATGGCCGTACACACTTTTTCGCCGCTCGCACTAGATAATATAGACGTCACTTACAGTTATTGTTGTTGAATTTGTGGTTGTGTTCTTTTTTAATTAATAGTAGTTGTGTGGTAAATTTCGTGTAATCTAATTTGTTTTTTTTGTAATTTTATTTGTTAATTTCTTACTTCAGAAGTGGGATTCGTTCTCATTTCTGCTTAGTTTAAATTTACGCCCACGTGTTTTTACTTTAGTCAGTTTGAAACGCGAGTGTCATACGTAAAAAAATAATGGAGGGTAGGCGGCGAATACGAAAAAAAAAAGGACGGTGTGCCTGTCCCTGCGCTTGAAGAAACGTTACAGGCGAAATTAAAACGTCTTAACGCTTTGGAAAATACGTCCAGTCCTAACGTGACGCAAGTGGCTGAGCTATGTCCACCAGTGGTGTCACCACGGCCGCGCTCAACAACACCACGAGGGGATTAGCCCTTTGCACCGCCGACGTCAAGTTCGGTACTTGTTCCGTCATGCGCAACACCATCGGGCTTGCTGTTTCTTCTGTAAGAGACGCTGCGTCGTTACCACCCGGTACTGACGGTTCGCACATTGGTACTGAGAACGCTCCGGTGCCATGTTCAAGCAGCGCGTGCCAGTCAAGCGCTGACCTGGTGCTTAATCAGGTGACCAACAAACTTGTAAGTGCGATGAGCACAATTCCGGTAAGATCGAACTCCATTTATATTTCTAATTTCGATCCGTCTTTCAACGATTTCGATATATGGTGTGAGGAGGTAGACTCTGCACGGTTGTCTAATTATTGGGATGATCGTGAGTGCTTATCTCAGATTGGATATTGTTTAAAAGGAGATGTTAAAGTGTGGCTAAATGGGTGGCTTAGTAATGATCGTAGTTGGTCTAACTTTAAAAAGGGAATTTAAATCACTTTGTCCGCAGCGAGTAGACATAGCAAATATTTTATTCGACGTAATGAAAACCGACTCTGATAGTAATCCCACGTATGCGGAATACGCTAGACGGTCTTTATTACGATTGCGTGTCGTACGGGGTATCAAGTTTGCGCCGCCGCGACTAGTGCTAATTTATCATCGAAAAACCTAGTTAAATTCCTCTCATTATACAACAAGCCTCTAGAACCGCGCTCTATAATACAAAATCATGTTAAAAGGACAAATTTGCGAGCTGATTCCCAAAAGCGAGATTAATTTAAGTCTAATATTAAATGTTGTTCATGTGGGGAAATTGGTCATAGACAAATTTTGTGTCCTAAAAAAACTAATTATGAAAATGCACCTGGGTCTACAAACAATACAAGTTTAAATAAAAGGCAGTTTTTTAATGACAAAATAATTTGAAGATTTTGTAAGAAGGTAGGACATAAAACGGAGGACTGTTTTGTTCGACAGCGTTCTGAGTCGAGCGGTAGGGTAAATGTTAACTTTTGTGTTCAATGTTCAATTCAATAGCTAATTGCTATAAACAAAACGATGTTACAACTACCATTATACAAGATGTGTCTGTTGATGTGCTAATAGATAGTGGGTCGACGGTGTCTTTAATTTCCGAGTTTGTAACTAAGTGTTTAACGGTGCACTCAAATATCGTGTTTTCGTGTATTACGCGGCTTAGGAAGCCAAGACATCGAAGTATCTTATTGTACTACTCTGACAGTAGAATTTTCTGAGATATCGCACGAAATAGATTTGTATGTTGTGTGCGATAAAAGCATGAATATACCGGTGATGTGGGGACCGACGTGTTAAATCGGGATGACGTTATCTATACACGTACTCGCGGTGTGCAAAGGCTTACCAACTGTGTTGAGAGAGTTATGACTATCGAATCTACTGACGTCGTACAAGTAAATACTCCGCTGTTAGGGTTTGATAGGGAACGTTTACATAGTTAAAAAATTCATACATTTCTTAGTAGTTGGGACGGCACGTTTAAGACTGGTTCTATGAATATTAACCTTCATGATAATACTCCCGTAGTTTACCGCCCTTATAAAATGTCGTACGATAAAAAATAACGCTTAAGAGAAATAATAAGACCTATTGGATAAAAAAATAATTTGTGTCGACTTTAGGACCCTAAACATAGAGACAGTCAAATATCACTACCCGCTTCCCTTAATTGAGGACAATATTGATCGGCTAGGTAAAGCTACCTATTTTACTTGCAATGGTCAGGTAAGTCCGAGCTCACAGCGATTAGAAGAAAACCGTGTATGACAAGATTTTGTATATGTGCGAAAGGCGAGTCAATTTGTTGGCAAGCTGTATGCGCGGACCATATGTGGTTTTAACGGTGTTGTCGCAGGGTAGATATATATTAAAATTGGTCGCTGGTTCCTATGGTAAGACCACGCAAGCTGCCGTGGAATACATGATGCCCTGGCGCGGGGAATGGACCCCTGATGTGTGTGCCGCATTCTTTGAGAGTAAGTAATTTTTACTTGCCTTTTAAAAACTTATATTTGTTGATAAATGTTTTGTGAGAACTGACATTTTATTAGGACTGCTTTTCATATACGTAGAACCTAATTTTATTAAAGACCTGCGGGAGTCTTGTATGATAGTAATGGAGTCACTCTTACTGTAGAAAGCAATGGATTCGCTCTTGCTTAGTGTGATGTACAGTAATGGAGTCACTCTTACTGTTGATAGCAATGGAGACATTCTTGCTATGTGAAATAAATGAAATAATGGATGCGCTCTTATTTCAATTTGATATTGTGTTCTACACAACTAGTCATTTCGAGTGATGTTGTGTCGAAAGTAATGGATGCGCTCTTACTTTCGATGTAAGTAATGTTAATTTAACGTTATAATAATAAAAATGATGTGATTTTTAGGTGGCGATGATGATGACGATAGTCCTTCCTCACAACAACCGCACGCGATAGCAGAGTCATCTCCTGATCTAGTTTCAATAGACCAGCCTTCTTGTCACCACATGTTTTCTGTTGACGTTCTTGTGTACGTTCTCGATAGGTGTACTTAGTTACCTATATGAATAAAGTTATTTTGAGTTTGAAGAGAAACTAATCGCATCCTTATAGGCTGGCGTCACTTCCTTTTCCGGCGTTGCAGTCCATGGGTGAGGTTCAGTATTTAAATATTAGTAACACACCTATTCCGTAAATGTACGATAAGTTCGTAAATTCTTTAATATAAAGAAAAAAACTTTTTACCGGATTAAAGTTATGTATTATTATAAATTTACAATTATTTAACATAATTTTAAATTTATCCGACGTTTCGCGTGCTTTACAGCGTGCGTGGTCGCGGTGACTACTTTAATATATATTTTCGAAGGATTTCTCACTATTCGATATTAATATTTTCAAGATCAGATTAACTCGAAGTTTCTCAGCTCCCAGCACTATACTATTATAGTGCTTAATTCTCTGCATAATACCTATGTATTATGTAGAAAATTTATAAGTATTACTGAGAATTTAAAATAAGCCCACGCTTATTTTTAATAAATAATATGGTAAATTTAAGTTGTAATACGAAAATAGTTTTAGTCCATAGTTGATATAATTTGCAAAGACCCCAAGCAGTAGTCAAGTGTCAAAAGTGATGATTTCATCCCGTATGATATTATATGCAAGCTTCTCTCCGTCTTTAATCCAAATTCAAGAAAGATCTATAAATACTAGTTACAGATCAATAAGATTAAGGGACAATACACAATAAATACACCTTACCTGATACGACTGGAATAATTATAATTATAAGCCTTTTATTTCATATTTTTAATTTTTATAATACAATCAGCTCATTAATTCCTAGGTTTCTGTGTGCCCTATTTGGTAAAGGCCTACTCCCGCTATTTCTGTCTGCACTGTGCTACTCTATGAACCTGCTGTTTCCTTAATCAGGTCTATCCAAATTCTATATTGTCTTCCTCTTTAGCGTCTATGTACAATAAAACCCAGTTTAATACTTTATGGCTTCACTTTTCCGTTCCTCTTGCCATGTGCCTCGCCCATTTTCACTTAACACGTGACATGTGCTACCTTAGTTATTCTTCTTAATGATGTATTATTTTTTAACTATCATACATTCCCTATCATCCATCGATCTTTGACACATCTGTAGTTTTGTTGTCAGTGCCCAACTTTGAGAACATTATGTTAGTACAGGTAGTACACAAATATTAAAAAGCTTCCTATTAATTACCATGCTCGTTTTTTATTTTTCCAAGCACCCGAAAGCTCTTCCAAGCTTTTCCTAATCTTGTGTCAATTTCTATTATTGTTGCATCGGTAATAGATATAGGCAAATAAAATCAGGTCGTCTGCAAACTTCAAGTGGGTCAATCTATTACTATTTATTATTAGTCCGTATTTATCCCAACTTAGCTTCTTGAATTAACTGCAAACATCCAGAACCTCCAAAAATAGTTTTGGAGACGGAGGGTCTCCCAGCCTCATTCTTCGTCCAATATCTAAAATTTTTAAATTTTAACTCTATTTTACCATTAATAATTTATATATATTTTTTTTATTTTATAATTATATATATGCCTGGCATGATTCCTAAAGACATTATGTACCTCATTTAACAAACAAAAAACTTTCGAACTGAAAAACTCTTGTGAAATAGGAAATAATAATTGGTATCACCATAGAAATTCTTCATCACATCAAATATTGTATGTATGATTTATTAATACACTTCTTGAATTCGACGTGGGAGATCGTTGTCACAATTCTATTCTGAGTTGTGATATTCATATTATCTTGTTCATGTTTATAAAACATTAAACCGTAAAATACCCATTTTAATAAAAATCAGCTGTTACAGAAGTCAGTGCGCAAATAAATAAAAATTACGACTGAAAATGTGATGTTTCTATGCATAAAATGGTAAAGAATATTTGTTGTACGTGTATCTCTGTAAATTAGTATGTTTTCAAAGCAGTATTATCCTTCGTGAATTCAAAATATTCTGGTGCAAAATGAATATGACATGTTCAGACTAGGAACAATCATATTAAATAATGTTCAAATAAAGATTTTTATATGAAATCTCTCGATAGTTTCTGGTTTCTCACTTTCTCAGTCGTATTCTTCATTGCTGAAGGTCGTGTCACCAACTTCAACTTGGTCATCTCTCCAACTTGTTCGGTCTATAGCTTCCCTTAGCGCAGCTGTTATGGGGAGACCCATGAGAATCGTGACTTAGTCACCAGCGGGTGGCGATCTGCCCCGCGGCCTTTTTGACAATCAGCTTATCCAGGTTATCTGGTTCACGACAGGTGATAACCACAGTAAGTTAGAACTCTTTTATAGCATTTCGTTTAGAGTCTCATATGAATTTTCAGATCCAAGATTGATTGGTTAGTTATTTCACCACATCACCAGTGCATCAATCCTTTTGCGCTCATTGTAGGGCTTTTTTCTTGACATTCTCAAAACAGGAGAGGGGGAGACGCAGATGAATATAAAGAAATCCAACGTTCGTAAATCAGGTATTGTTCTAAAATCAGGCAAATGTATGAAATCTTTTGATAATACTCTACTGTACTTTAGAAAGTGTATGATCTCAAATTATGTACTGAAAACTTAAATACAACCATGATCTTAAATAAAAACTAAACCTTGTTTAAATTATAACTAGTTAAACTCGCTCATCGTACAAATCCGAACCCTAAATCACCAGTTTTATACACCCTTGATGCTCGCGTACCTCATTAAATCGGTCCGTTTCAATAAATTAAGCACCTTTTATATACCTGAATAATTCATTTACAGCATCTATTTATTTATTTAGTTATTAAGCTTACGACATCACACACAGTCCTAAATTTACTAATTATTTTACAAAATCTTACATCTAAAATGTGTGACAATTAATGTAAGCATAAGTTTCTCAAAAAAAAAAATTAAATAGAAATTAAAAAAATACAATTAAAACATATACGATAATACAACATTAAAATAAAATAAAATTACAGAAATTTTGTTCATTCTTTAGGGAATGACTGGGCCAGTAAATGAAACTCTTTAGACTTCTTGTACAAACTTATTTAAATTCATTATAATATGACCTTTCGCTAGTCAAGTACAAAGAGAAGTGATGGCGCACGTCGCCCCACCTTACAATTATTATAATGCAAAAAATGCGCCTGATGTAAACATTGCGCAATGTCGCAACATACTCCCGGCCGTTGAAACTCTTTCAACATTCTTCATCTAATCTTCTTGTACCGGCAACTTGCACAGCCGGACCAACGAACGTGTAATGCAGCCGCTGCTGGTCTTAATTTCTGCCACTCTGGCCACTCCATCTAAGCCATTTATCAGCCGCTGCACTCGACCCAACTTCCAGCAGAGAGGGGCAGTATTGTCCTCGGCTATCAGCACTAGGTCCCCAATATTAAGATTGGCAGAGTTCTCTCTCCATTTAGTGCGCTGTTGCAATTCCACCACGTACTCCTTTTGCCATCGTCTCCAAAAGTGCTGTCTTAATTGCTCAATTCTCTGGTACCTTTGTAAGTGACTAAATTTGAATTCACCAAGACCTTTAGAAGGCAGTGAAGTTAATGGTCGTCCAATAAGAAAGTGTCCAGGGGAAAGGGTAAGACGGTCATCGGGAGAAGATGACAAGGGACACAAGGGACGGCTGTTTAGGATTGCTTCTACTTGTGCAAATAAAGTTGATATTTCCTCAAAAGTAAGATGACAGTTTCTCATAACACGCCGTATATGGTGCTTAGCAGATTTTACCCCACTTTCCCAAATACCACCGAAATGAGGAGTATATGCCGGAATGAAATGAAATTTAATTGATTGTTGACTTGCAAAGTCAAACAGAGAATCTTTATTTTGTTTGATAAATGAACCTAATTCTCGCGCTGCAGCTACAAAATTGGTACCGTTATCAGAAAATATTTCCGTTGGTCTTCCTCGACGAGCAATGAAACGACGAAGTGCCATTATATATGCTTCTTTAGTTAAGTCACTAACAGCTTCTAAATGTATACATTTGAAACGCAAGCAAACAAATATACACAAATAACATTTAATTAAGCGGCTTCCTCGTCCTTTGCGATTCAAGATAAGAAATGGACCTGCGTAGTCAACTCCTACTGCTAAAAAGGGTAATCTGGGGCAATCCGTTGTTCTGGAAGATTTCCCAAAGCATCTATTAACTACCCGTTGAGCAAGACGACGCCCGTTAACTGGCCAGACAACCTCTCTCACAGCTGCAAGTAGCAATAAAGGACCAGCATGCATATGCTTTAAATGCTCTCGCTCAAAATACAATTGAGTAAGGCGGTTGGTACTATGTAATATGATTGGATGCTTTCTTTCATAAGAGTAATAATTTGATGCATCTAAACGCCCGCCAACTCGTATTATATTTTCAACAAGAAATGGAGATAAAGATAAAATTTTGCTTTTGCTATTCAACTGTTTACCCTTGATTAATAAATCATATTCAATTGGAAATGATTGTTTTTGGGCACACTCATATAACTTGTTCATGGCGTTACTCAATTCGCTAGTTGATAGTGCACCTAGGCGTTTATTAGTTTTATTTTTTATATTAAATATGAATCGAAGCACATATGAAACTGTTCTTTGTAATCGAGTCAGTGAGGAGTACCTATTAAAATTAATAAATGTTTCATTTATTACAGCCGAATTAACCCTAATTTCAGGTAAACTATTTAAATCAAAAGATTTTAAAACAGGCCATTTAGCCTCGTCTTCATACAAAAAACTAGGGCCTAACCACCACAAGTTCATATTTAAAATATTCTTAGCTTGAATTCCCCTAGATATAAGATCAGCAGGATTAAATTCCGATGGCACGTATCGCCATGCTGAAGAAGAAGTTATTTCTTTTATTTCACTAATGCGGTTGGCTACAAAGGTTTTCAATCTACCTATATCCCCTTTTATCCAGCATAATACAACACTGGAATCGCACCAATGTACTATCCGCGTAGGTGTAAACCTAATTGACTCTAACACCGATTTT